TTAGCGTCTTATTGATAAATTCCGCCGTCGAGAAAGTTCAGGACGTATACGTAGACTACGGATTTGTTATCCCCGCGATCGGTCCAAGTCCCGAGATAAATGCGGCCCCCTAGGGGTGCAGGGGGGATGCGTAGGTCCCAGGAACTCGAGGGCGCAGGGGACCCAGTGATAAACAGTGTCGCTCATTCACAATGGCCGGCGAACACGCATTAAAGCGGACTAATATGAAGTGTATTAATGTGCACGGCATTGTCTAACCCATGCGTACACGGCTACTGTCGTGGGGTCCACCTTTATACCTCCATGGGGGGCCCCTCTTCCGAGCCTACGTACCTACGCTCTCTACCGATATACCCGGTGACTTCTGACGAACGCCCATTCTTTATGGACATACCTTCGCTTGAACTTTTTTTTCCTCTGACTGTATCCGGAAACACCTGGATATGACTGGATGGGCTCAGTGATAATGGTATCTATGGGGAACTGAAGTCTGGTCATGGGTCAAGTGGAGATCGTGGCTGACCCAACCGAGCAGTCAGCAGCCACCATCGCATGGCAGTTTGCAACGATTGTTTTCTCGATCGTGGGAGTCGTGGAGACGAGCATAGGATGGCAGGGTACTCAAAGGAGGAATCCTGGAGGGCGTCTTCTTCGCATTCCATAGAGAGTGCACACCCCGTATGGGGCCAATCGCACTGTGGGGATATAGGCTAGTTCTGCCCACTGGTCTAAATTATGGGGTCGCTGTCCAGCTCGCCACGCATAAATGATTGCCCGTGTTATGTTAAACATCCTGGCTCTCTGCGGAGCTCACGAGTGTGCTCACCCACACGAAACCTCTGGGGAGGTGGAAGACCCCGAGGAGGTGTAGTAGGTGGAGAGGAGAGCTACGGCTAAAAGTTATTTATCTCGGACAGTCGCGAGCTTGGATTTTGAATAATTCCAAGAGCGACCGCATCCGAAATGACTGGCTACTCCCGAAATTCCAAACGGGAGGAATATTGTATGAGTGGATTCGTATGGTAGGACAATTTGAATTTGCGAATTTCCACAAAAGTTCATTTCAATTATGGGGGAAGCGGTACAGGTCTCTGATTAGATGCTGAGTTCGTATGGAGGTATTAGGTAGTTAGCGCATCGTGCCTATGCTGGAATATATATAAAGGTAGCGATCATCTCTCGAGATGGCTGCCAGGTTGCAGCGTGGAAAAAGACATATTAGAGACATCATAATGCCAGGACGAAGCTGTGTTACAATTTATAACTGGCTGATATCGCGATAGAGTCTCAGGTTCGAGGCATTGTGTTCCTTAAGGTTCGTTCCATCCGCTGAGGCGGCATCGACTGCCTGGGTGGGGTCCTGGCTCCTTGGTGGCCGCTTCAGGATATCCTTTTGATATCCTGTTAACTAATGCCTACCATTCGTTACAATGTGTACCCTGATATACATTCGCCACGTTCAACGGATACTGTACCCACAGCTGGACCCAACAGGACTTTGTGGTATATACCTATTACACGGCTGATCTCTCATTCCTTAAACGTATCTAACGAGGACGTATTAAGTAACTGCAAAATTTCGATTTTTTATTAAATCCTTTTTTTTAAGTTTTAAGGATCATACTGATCCTGTAATAAAGAGATAGCCATGTTAAAAAAAATATGTACAAGGGTAGAAACGTGTGTTCAAGACTGGATCAAGATGATTACGACCCCAGTCCAGCGAAGACAAAAGGTCGCATCTGTTTAAACGAAGAATTCCACAGTCAAAGGAGTCGCGATTCCTCTTCGCTGATACATCCTGATAAAAATTGTCCAGATCCATGCGCGACAGATACCGCAAGAACCAGCTGGACGAACTGTGGTACCTGCTTTACTCGTAAGTTCTACATATCATGAATGTGAACACCTGGACGACAAGAAGAACGTGTCTAGAATGAAGGATCAGGACCTGCACCTTGGTCCACTCCCTTCTCCACCTAACCACATAAGAATCTCTAATTTTTTTTCAATACCCGTACCTGCGTCTGTTCGTAAATTTTTCTCTAGTATCACAACTACCTTGCGATACGAAACAATTGTAGGTTGCATCTACATTATGGCTGGGTCAAGTATTCACTTATGGAATACATCAAGTCATTCATATCAATATCACAAAGAGAAGCCGAGATATGGTTCCCTCGGTTGTGGCCTTAAGGCAGGGGTCCTTCCTCGACAGGGTCAGTCCAGTAGGCGGTACCAATGAGGCCAGGCCTACCTCCATACCACCTTAACAATGGACCAGCAACAACGTAACCAGCTCTCCTAGCCGTACCTCCATTCCTGACACACGTCACACGATACCCACCCTGACTACCCAGCAGCTAGTAAGACCTACTGAAACTGACTAATGAGTGAAAGACTAATTAAAAATCAATTTACCAAATATTCAATTAATCACAAGGTTGGACCACTTTTTCTCAACCTCAATACCAAACTATACCAAGCGCCAGACTCTTCCTACTGTAGCAATAAGCGTTCCGAGTCAGCAATGATCCAGTTACCTTGAACTTCCCTGTTTCCAAGAGACCATTCAAGAAGGCTCCCAGGTGACAAAGTGTCTCTTCCTATCCGGAATCACCAGGACACCAGGAACTGGCAATTACACACTTAACAGGAGTGATATCCATTAGCGTCTCTGGTCCCACAGCGCGAGATACGATAGTCCATGAAACAGGTCGTAGTCCAGAAATTCTCACGGTTCCTAAAATGATTATTACCATTGCGCATCAGTATAAAACCAGCTCAGCGCTTGACGACTCGGTGACTCTGATGACTCCGTGACTGTGAGGCTACCACCGATGACACATTCACAGAAATTGTTTCAACTAGTATACTATACCCGGCCCACTAACTTCACCGAGGATGAGGTACGACGAGGATGAGGAGACACACGGTGCTCGCTAACAAGCCCATTGCCACTTTATTATCGCACGTGAATCGCCCGGGAATAGCCACAAATCACGAGAACTGGTTATCTACCGTGGTACCTGCGTGCCCGTGGTTGCCACTTGCCAGTAAACGCCAAGACGCGTCCTCCGGGTTAGCCAATCAAACTGAAAACCAGAGAAATGGGCCTCGGGTTGGTCGAGTCCAATGAAATTATGTAAAATTTAATTTTACAGATAATCACAATTAAATATCCCTCGCGGTACATTTACATCTATACGTTATAAATATATATAAATATATACAGCAATGCCAGGAGAAACAGATAGAGAAAGGGAAACGGACCAAGTGGACGTACTAAATCATCTTTGTGACAAGAACAGATGTCTACAAGCCTTTGTTGGTCCTAGTTTGTGCAAAGGCGCCATATAAGACTGCGCCGGTACCCCTGGTTCCTTCGAGGACTCTGGGCCCTGGGGACTCTTGGGTCCCCTACGGGAACTCACCAGAGCCTTGGCTACGACTGTCTTCGTAGTCGTATGGGTCCCATGCTTATGTACGTTAAGAATAACAATATAAAGTAAGGCCCACGATAGTATATCTGTATCAATTGTATGCATATACGGGGGTCCCCATGCTTTGACATTCCTATATACGATATGTACTACATAGAGATACGTATAAATAGACTGTCTTCGCGTAAGCCAATGCTAGCCTACGTTACGTTTGTCGCGTTTTACCATTATATGGTTTATCGTTATTACTTACAACAGTGGCTGCCGTAGACACATCGTGCTTTTGGCTTGCGCGTATGCTTGGTATACGTATACTTATTGGGACATGTGAATTTCAATACTCGCGTATAAGAGGGAAGACCAAACGTTAACCGTAACCCCTATTAAACCCCATACCTTATGTGATCTTCATTTAAATACGATTATGGATAACGGCCGCGGGCTGCCAGTATCAATTTGATATTCAAATAGCCGATCTTTTGTTCGCCAACGATTTTTCGAGCCTCGATAATACCGGCAATCTCTTTGCATTTCACCGTGAAACGAGAGAGGGGACAGTACGATAGAAAATTTAAAAATCGGATTACACTCCGATACGTATTATGGCAGTGTCATACATTGTTTTGTTTTTATAGATTTATGAAAAAAAATTAAGGTATGTACAGAAGAGAAAATTCTTACTGGTCATGTTACTTCGATAAGACTCGACCCGACTCAACTTGAATAAGATACGCAATCGGTGACGTTTCTATACCAAATATATCGCACAAAGTGCGCCGCCGTGTGCTGTCATATTAAATATTATTTATGCTCTTGCATATATAAGCATGCCAGGCTACCGCTCTAGCACAATTGCACGCGTGTGCGTTTACACGCGTATTGTCCCTGGAGAACGAGTAGCCAGTGGTATCCATTGGACCCGTTACATAAAGTGCATGTAACGTACAACGCCATCCCAATCAGAAAACAATATCAATCCATTGTTTCGGGTTGCCTATAAATATCATAAATATCGGCCGACTGAGTTACAGCCGATCTAAGTCGCAGATCGTACTCCTCGGCAGGCTGGGCAAACCTTAAGAAATATCGTTAAAGGATACCTGAACAGTCGGATAGTCTCGCGCTGTATTATTTATCGGATCGTTTATATTTGTCCTCGAAATCATGCGAATTCCTGGTTGCGAATTGTTACGAATTATTGCAAAGTGGAATAACGAAATTCGTTGCTTTGCGTATTATACTCAAAATTGAGACGCTTGAGGATATACGAAGAGAAGAAGATAAATGTTAGATCTCTCGGAAGCAAGAAAGGGTTTCGTGACTGAATGGTATAGTGGTATCGGTATAGGTATAAGACTGCGAAATGGATCCCATTAATAAAAAAACTTTGTATTCTTGTTAGATCGATGGGCTTGTTTGTTGGCACCTTTTTTCTTTATTATTTTTCTCGTATGTTATATAACTTATATGAATACACAGTACCAGGTGCATGGGATTTTGTAGAGTGTGAGATTGAGGTTTGTTATTATTTTTTTTTAATAGTCTATATGTTTTTAGGGTTAAAAATGCCGAGGTCCATTGAGAAGACGCAACAGGGATGCTGGAAATCAAAGTTCGTCTATGGAAGATGATGGTACACAGTCCGCCATCTCTCGTCAGCCGTCAGAAGCCAAGGTAAGTCGACAGAGGCTTTCAACTTGTGCAAGCGGGGAAGAATCAATGTGGGGATTTTAAATAATTTACAATTTAACGTCATCAAAGAGCACGTGCATGGCTGATTGAGCTAATTGAAATTTGAGGTCGACAATAGGTCGATGATATAATAAAACCGATTTTCAATGTATAACAGAAGTCCCATAGGGATTCCATAGAAAGAGTCACTTTCCTATCTTATCAATATTAGCATAGAAGAGCAGTTTACAAAATCGTTATAACCAGGGAAAGTGGTCGTCTGGGTCTACTAAAAAGGGCATATCGACGTAACGTAGGAACCTTTAAATAAAGAGTGCGCTGAATGTATATAGATATACACGCATGTATCACGTATATCCGGTGAATGAATTTAGAATTCAGAGTCAGGTAGCTGCTAAAAAGAATTCCCAGAGTATGGATAGGTATAGACTACGATAGAGGAAGTCGAGCGTAAAGGGGCATAAAAATTGTAAGAGGGAGAGAACAAAAATAGTCGAACCCACCAATGACGTAGATAGAGACAGAGCTGGAGTTATCCTTTCGGTAGAAAATTACGATAAATCCTCGCTCGCGCGTTTTCGCACTCATCGTTCAGACGAGCGAGCGGCATAATCTCGCATTGAGTGGGCAGGTTGTGGGGTTCTTGGGGGGCGGGA